ATGTCTTCGATCTCTGTTTAGAAATTGATTTAACCCCTTTCGCAACGTTAGCAAATTTAATAATGTCTTTATTTTTCACGATTGTCGATATCGTCGTTCTCGGAATATGGAATGCAACCGTTAAATCTCGAACACGCGTGCCACCTTCATATTTCTCAACAATCTCTTTTTTCAGTTCCGTTGTGATTCTAGTCATTTTTTTTATTTTTCTGTTGCCCTTTTGCAATTCGTGAATAATAAAAATAATAAAATGTTACTTACAAATTAAAATCAGAAGAAATTTAACAAAGTTATAAACCATAGCACCGCGAACGTCTAGTCTAGTGTAGTACACCAATAGTTCTACTTGTTCATAGATGGCGCGTATAATTGAATTAAGTCGTATACCGAACAAAAGTCATATACCGAGCAAAATTTGTTTCGTCCAAATAGGACATATTCCGAATTGGATGTATTCTAAAGCAGACGTATACCGAGGTGCCACTGTATTCTTAAATGAAAATCTGAAAGCATTTGTTTAATTATTGGTACCTGTTGAGTATGGATAAAAGCAAGTATCAGGATCAGATCAGTTAGAAAATTATTCAAATTTGATTGTATTGGTAGAATTCTGTATCACATTTCTAGTAAATATACATGTTTTTAATAACTCTTCCTAACCATTGATTAAGAAAATTTCTATCTTTATTAGAAAGAATTAATTAATTATAAAGTATTTTTCTTTTGCATAAAATTATATTAGTTTTATTAAAACAATAACAATAAGACCAGGTGTACTCAGCATGAAGAAGTAGAATCTTACTATAACATCTGAGAGAATTCTTTATTAACAAATGAAAATGTTTGTTAATAAAGAAATCTCTCAGTGAAGCTCAGGTGTTATAGTAAGATTGTAATAATGATAACGACTCATTATTATTTTTAAGCATGTGATATGCGTGATAAATTTAAAACGATACAATTAAAAACTTCTGGTGAAAATATTGTAAAATCTTCTCATCTGGAAAGATGTTCTCATGTTGTGAAATGTATGTACCTAAAATTATTGGAAATTATAATTTTGTATATAAACACAATGTGTATTTTTTATTAATAATAATTATGGTACAGTAGGTCTTCAATTTAATGTACTCCAATTTGATGGACCAAGAAAAAAAGTTGTTTTAAGAAAAACTTATAACTTTCAATTCATGAATAGTATAAAACATATTTTAAAAATATGTTTGATTTAATAGATCTTTGGTAATAGTTGATGCTCCTTTCTCTAATTATCCTGTTAAATTGAGGGCTTACTGTATTGCTAAAAATTATTTACGATTCTTTTTTTATCAGTTGTAATATAATTACATATATTTTTTAAAAAATTTTCTAGATATTAGGTCTCATCTTCTCTATTGTTTTATGCTGTGCCATTCGCAATGAAGAAGCAGAAGTATTCAAGGCCTGAATGCTGGAAAAGTTTCAAAATTGTGCCAAAAAAGATCTAGTGATTATGTTGAAATACAACATAATGTATTATGAGTAACATATTATATCATTGTTGGCACTTACATGCCATGTGAAGAAAGTAATGATATATACCAAATAGAATACTCTCAAATGTACATATATCAAGCTATAGATTTATAAATACTCCATATTGTATATAAATATATCTTTTTTTAATTTTTTTTTTCTTTTGTTTTGCTCAAGTGTATCTTGAAAATATCAAACAACATAATTTTGTATTGTAATATTGTATAAATCTTTCAACTTATATTTCTACAATTAAAATTTATACTGCTGTTAAGGATATATGCATACTGACTTTGTACATATTGTGAAGAGTTTAATCAGTAATTTAGTTTGAATATTTTAAGATCTGAAACAACTATGATAATTTCAGTTGATGATCAAAGTTTTAAGTTGCCCAAATTTTTCCAAAAATTATTTCACCAAGTTTTATAAATACCATCATGTGGCAAATCTGAATTGTAAGAGTGATCCGTCCTCCTCTACCGCTCAACAGTCCTTGGTGCAATGTTTGGGAAAGTATTTTAAAAAAACAAAATGTACAGTTATATTTTATGATTGTATTTAAAAATAGATGAAAGAAATAGCCTAGCTTTATCAAAAAAATAAACATAAGTGGAAAAGGTTAACAAAATAGTTAAATTTGTTCAGGTATAAGTGATAACATAAGCAACAAAAATGAATAACACTAGTTATATTTAAACCAAAATATCTTTTAAGTTGACCTAAAAACTTTTTATTTATTAATGCTAATTTATATCATATAATTATTAATTCAAAATTTTTATTTTCATATCTAATGCAATTATTTTTGTTAATAATGATTAACTTCTTTAAAAGTTTACTATTGAATATTCATTATAATAGTGAAAATTTCGAGACAACTAATTATAATTATATTAGTCTTAGAATCATCAAAAAGTGATATATTTTTTGAAATTCAACTCAGCAAAACTGGTAAATACTGAACACTTTTTATGTGAATTATAGATTTTAAATAAATCAGCTTAAATTTATACAAAAAACTTAGTATTTACAGCTGATTTGAATTATATTTAAAATATTAAGCCATTTAATTACATCATAACACTAAGATAATAGTTAAATGCTCTAGGATAATTAATATTTTGATGTTATAATTAGTTAAGATTAATTTGTATGTAAGTAAAATGGTTGGAAGTTTGATCAGTAAAATGGAATATGTTGAATTTTAAAGCTTCTAATCTTACAAGTATAATTATTTTTCAATATTAATAACAGTTGATGTATCATTTATGTCAATTACATATCACATAATAATATTTATTGTTAATGAAACCGGAATATTTTAGCATTACTTAAATGTCTTTTTTCAATAATTGAGTTAAAAAATGCACTTTATTCATATTGCAGGATGTCCCAAAGTGTGGAACCATGAGAATTATTTTGATTTTTTTTACATATAAAACATGGCACCAAGTGATGAGAAAAAAGTTCAAGTTAATTTGATGATGGGGATCCACCACAGTCAACATGAAGTCAATGATGAATTTAAGTGTATCCAAACTTCCTATCAATCACACACTGAGTAGATGCAACTTGTTAAACTCTTCAGTAATTTCATGCTGACTGCAGGTTTCTACAATCAAAATAACTTGAATTCATTCCACTTCATTTAGCATTGTTTTACCTGTAAAAAAAATAATGAAGATCAACATAACTCCTATTGTTTCAGACTTCTGGAATACTGTATTTTTGTAATGCATCCCTTTCTTGGTAAATATTAATAAATAAGTTAAAGTAACAACTGCCTATTTGGAGACCAATCTGAGAAAAATTTTCATTTTCTAATACCCTTTTTTTTAACTTAATTTTCATACAAACTTTATAATTATTTTACTTATTAATTCAACCAAGTATTTGGTTGTGTTTTTATAAACCAATTTAAGGAAATTTAAGGATTTCAATTATTTTGAATGAATCTATAACTTCAGTTAAAGGAATCTAAGATAAACAATTATATTTAAGTATTCTGTATACAATATTTTAAATGAGATTTCTTTTTATTAATTTTATAATTTTACTTCTACTATTGCTTTTTTTACATTTAATGATCATTACAATAGAAAGTTTATGAATTACAGCAATGTTTACATTACAAAACATTTGCTTCCTTTTCCAATACCTTGTACAAATGATAAGATAGAGCACAAAAATGACTATTTTTTCTATATTAAATTATTAATATATTTTATGTTGTTTCGTTAGTTAATGTTTAATAAATGGTGTGAAGTTGTATATGTCAATGTTCCAATTATATGATGAATTTTAGAACAAAGTGATCGGCATATGTACAAATACAGTATGTATAATTCATTTGACAATCAGTAAAACTGTTAAAAAAAATCTTTCATCACTTTTAGCAATAAAATTGAAAGGAAAACACCATGCACAAGTAAAGTGTGCAGTTTAAGAACTTGTTAATAGTTTAAAATTGTTGAATTTAGTCAGAAAAAATGTCAGTCGAATGACATTTACCTATTCCATGTTTATGGAATTTTATATCATTTATTCTGGAGCAATATGATTCTAGTCTGTCTCATTTCTACTTAAAAACTGGCTTGAACTTGTACAAACAATTTTTGCTTTTCATTAAATAAAAATTGTTGTAAATTTATTAATCAAGATTTAAAACATGGCACAATTTAATTCTTGTCTGTATTTCAAATAACTCACATAACTAATTTTATTATAAGACATTATATATTGTGTTTCTATGCAAATTTTATTTTAAAATCTGAAGTGGTTTCCCCCCATTAATTTTGTAATATTTTTAACTTTAAGCTAAGCTATGTATTTTACATAATTTTTAAGTCTTTATATGGCAAAATTTATGTATCACTGAAAGAATCTCCAAAGAATCATTTCCATATTTTTCTTTTTATATATTTCATATTATATCTGTATTTAGTAATGATTGACTGAGTGTGTATTGCAATTATGCCAATGCAAATAATCCAGGTAATAAAATTTTTGTTATGAATTTATTTTATTCAATTTTTATAATAAATTTCACTAATAGATATCTATTGAATTAACTTATAATTTTAAACAACACACTGAAATAATTATATCCGAAATTATTTTTGATTTTATTATATTTATTGTTAATTTAAACAGTTTCATGCAAAATTCCAATCCTGTTAGTTGCATTGCCAATTTTTAATACAAACGTTGATTTACTGAGTTTCCTGTAAGAGCTAATAAGTCCAAAACAATGCAAACCATTGTTGTACTGTGTATACCTTATAGATGACGTGTAAATAATTGTTATGAAACTTATTATTTTCTTTTACGATGAAGCCAGAAAACTGGATGGAAAATAAAATTTAGCCTACTGCAGGGCGTGCCGTCATTGGAAGCGGTGGATGCGCCGCTTCCCTCGTATTTTCTAAAAAATAAATACATATTAATTTTAATTATATGAAAATAATCGCGCAATATTTTATTATAACCGCATTATGTATCTTATTACAAATTTCTATACTACAAGTGAAAAAAAGGATAGGATTGCTATTGTATATTCGAATATTGGCGGAGTGGAAGCGCCGTATCGTCGGCATCCAAAAAGCCATATTCGCGCACACGCTTTACGGAGCACCAACCTCACCCTAGAGTATTACAAATCAACCTAGCAGTTTACAAACCAAAATTATTAATAACATGTATGTATAAAAGTGCTAGAAACAAGTATCTATTATGTGCCCAGCGTTAGTGTTCAACCGCGACCAGCATTAACGTTATTTACTCGGAAGTTTAACTACAAGTTCTACATTGAAAATGTAGAATGTGATTAACACGCATTCTATTGAAGACCTTACAGCTTTTATATGGTCTGAAAGATTAAAATATACACTTGTACTCTATTTTCCGGTTAGTTTGCACATTTCTCCTTAAAAATACAATTTAAGGTTGGTAACAAGGTTTTTCTCTTCTGTAGAGGACATGACGACTGACAGATCTTCATTTGGGTGTTGAAAGACCTTCGGGATATAAATTGATGTTCTGTTTGACGACGAGACTCTTTGATCTACATCAGTTATATTTACATTTTTAGCGTAATCTTTTATTCGTTGCTATATTTATTTTAAATTGACAAATTTTTATGAGAATGTCCCCAAAAAACATTTGATTAAAATAACCTAATAATTGAATTTTTTGCCATCGATTTCGGCTTAATGAATCAATCGAATAGCAACGAATATCCAGTTTTATTCCTTGATTGTTATTCTGTCAAGTAATCAGGGTTAGTTTCTGGAAATCAAAAAACTACCACAAAATGGATGTCGCCTTGACGTGGCTTTGTGGATTAATGTGTGAAAATTTTCACAAGTTTTACACAAAAGATTTTCCACAGACTAAGTATACCAGACAGAAGTATTTTGAAATAATTTTTATCACTGATAACCAGAGAGACTAAAGTCTATAATTTGAGCTTTTTAGACCTACTTGTTCATCCTCTAGAACAGGGATCACCAAACTTTTTTCACAGCGGGCCACATAACTGAGAGAATGACGAGCGCGAGCCGCATAACCATTTTGTTCAATATAGCGTACTGAATACACAAAAAATAAAGAAAATTAACATATTTATTTACCAATACACAAACACGATCGCTGCATCAAGCTCATGATCATTTTTCTTAGAAACTTCATTGCAGAATGGAAGTTGCATCATTTTCAGTTTCAGTTGTACACTCAGGTAATGTGGAGTCTAGGTCAGTCTAAAATTGCTTGTATTATTGAAAATTTGACTAAATTAGGAGAATAAAATGATAAATGGTTTCAAAATGGCATCTACTTTTTGGGTTTTCAATTGTTTTATTTATTTATTTTATTCGTAATTGTTTTTAAGTTACTTACTGCAGTAAATAATGTGTTATACCCCGTTCGCACACAATCCACGACTCACTTCGATCTCGATTTACCCACAATCTGGATTGTGGCTGTCGCCAGTGGAACATCGTGCTGTTCGCACAGGTAACTCGCTTGAGAAGAACCCGGCTATTACACGCGATGATAAAATTGACATAACTACGCGGTAAGTCACGAACACCAACAAACAAAATGGAAGTTTTGGTTAGAAATACAGTAGAGCTTCGATTATCCGACCCCCGATTAACCGCCACCTCGGTTAACCGATCGCCCTAGTTGGCAAATTTCAAATGTCCGCTAGTGATGTGGCGCTACAATATTTGGCTATGTCTGGCTACTTTAATATTATTTTTACGTGTTTTAGCTGGCAACACTCATTCGACCATGAAAGGGAGCCAGTATTTAAACGAGGCTTACTTTTCTAATTTTTAACGATACAATAGCGATGATTATTATTTTAAAAAATTTTTGTTAGGCTTAACATCGATGAAAATTCAACGCGAAGTAGGTTAATAGCGATATACTAATATACTAATTACATGGGATATAATAATATACTACACTAATAATGGATTTTTTCATACTTTTCGGTTATCCGACTTTTCAATTATCCGACCAACCCCAGTCCCCAATTG